GCCTGGGTGGCTCAGTTGGTTAAGCGACTGCCTTCGGCTCAGGTCATGATCCTGGAGTCCCGGGATCGAGTCCCGCATCAGGCTTCCTGCTCAGCCGGGAGTCTGCTTCTCCCTCTGACCCTCTTCTCTCTCGTGCTTTCTATCTCTCATTCTCTCTCTCTCTCAAGTAAATAAATAAAATCTTTAAAAAAAAAGAAAACCTTATCTGTTGAAATGCCAGACTTAGAGGAGCAGGAGTAGACTGTATAAGGATTAAAGCCTTGTAGAATTCTAGACTGGAATACTGCCAGGGAGTCCTTCCAGCATGTGAAACCAACAGGGTTTTAAGGAGCTAAAGAAATTTTAAAAATATTTTTGTCCTCTATTTCATTCAGTTAAAGAAAAATAAAACCCCAAAGATAAAGTACCTAAAGGAAACACACACTGGATAACATAAATAAGAAAACAGACAAATAGTGGGGTGTATGTAGTATAAATACTTGCATATTTAATTTAAAGTACGAAAGGAACACAAAGGTAATCTATGTCTAAACAAAGAAATAAAAATGCAGCAACTGATAGCAAAAGATCTAAAATGAATTAAAAACAGGTCTCTTTTAGGTACAAAAGTGCTTTGGTGTTTACTGCTTGTTCACTTAAGGTAAGAGATACCCCATAACATATAGATACTTGCAATTTTTTTAAAGATGTATTTATTTGCTTATGAGAGAGAGCTGTAGCAGGGGAAGGGGCAACAGGAGAAGGAAAGAATCTTCAAGCAGACCCCCTGCTGAGTGCAGAGCCCCACGTGGGGCTTGATCTCACAAACCTGAGATCATGACCTGAGCCAAAATCAAGTCAGATGCTCAACTGACTGAGCTACCCAGGTGCCCCTTGTAACTTTCTGATGTACACATTAATTGTAAACGCAGAGATCTTTCCTTTGGGGGCCACTTTTTTTTTTTTTAAAGATTTTATTTATTTATTTGACAGAGAGATATATAGCGAGAGCAGGAACACAAGCAGGGGGAGTGGGAGAGGGAGAAGCAGGCTTCCTGCGGAGCAGGGAACCCGATGTGGGACTCGATCCCAGGACCCTGGGATCATGACCTGAGCCAAAGGCAGACGCTTAACGACTGAGCCACCCAGGCGCCCTGGGGGCCACTTTTAAGGCTATACTCTGCAATTAAGTCTTTATCCTTTATTTAATCTACAAACACTTTGTACACTGTGTGCAGAACATTCTATTAGATAGTTTGGAGTATCTTAAGATAGCTCTTGAGGAACCCTCAGTTTTGAGGATAATGCATAAAAAGAAAAAAGACCAAAATTCATTCTTTAAACAAAGTATAAACAATGGTCTCACTGGCACGGAGAAAGTAGCTATTTGAGTTATGACTCACAAGCATCATTATGTCAGGATCTTCACTCAGCAACTATTAGATAAGCAAAGTTCAAAAGAATTGTATAATAACCACATTTCATTGAATCTAGGAAACTAATAATTGTGAGATGCATCATTACTATTTGTATCACTGAGAAAGAAAAAAAGTATGACAAGTATAGCTGTGAGATGAACTTGCGTGTGAGATGAATCCTGATTTCAGAGTTGTGAACATGTTCTTCTACGTAAATGTTCCTCTTAGAAGATTTTATAGCTTCCAATGCTTCTATCAGAAAGACCAAGTTTACAACCAGTAATCAGAGCTTCCATCTTAAGACTAAGAAAAGAGGGCGCCTGGGTGGCTCAGTTGGTTAAGCGACTGCCTTCGGCTCAGGTCATGCTCCTGGAGTCCCTGGATCGAGTCCCGCATCGGGCTCCCTGCTCGGCAGGGAGTCTGCTTCTCCCTCTGACCCCCCCCTCCATGTGCTTTCTCTCTCTCTCATTCTCTCTCTCAAATAAATAAAATCTTTAAAAAAAAAAAAAAAGACTAAGAAAAGAGAGGGATGTCTGGCTGGCTCATTTGGAAGAGCATGTGATTCTTGATCTCAGGGTCATGAGTTCCAGCCCCACATTGGGTGTAGGGATTACTAAAAAAAAAATTAAAAATTAAAATTAAAAAAAAAGAATAAGAAAACAAATTAAACCTGAAGTAAGAAGGAAGAGAATAAATAGACAAGAGTAGAACTCAATGCAATCTAAAACAGAAAAACAATATGGAAAACTCAATGAAACTGGACAACTGGGTGGCTCAGGTGGTTAAACATCTGCCTTTGGCTCAGGTCATGAACCTGGGGTCCTGGGATTGAGCCCCAAGTTGGGCTCCCTGCTCAGCGGGGAGCCTGCTTCTCCCTCTCCCTCTGCCCTAGCTCCTGTGGTCTCTTTCTCTCACTCATTCTCTCTCTCTCTCTCTCAAACAAACAAACAAATAAAATCTTAAAAAAAAAACCTCAGTGAAACCAAAAGCTAACTTTTTGAAAAGATTAATAAAACTGACAAACTTCTAGCTGGATTAAAAAAAGAAAAAAGGGAGTTTCACAATTTTAGACTCCTCATGTAAATGGAATCATGTATTTGTTCTGTGTCTCGCTTATTTCACTTAGTATAATGTGCTCCAGGTTCATCCATGTTATTGCAAATGGCAGGTTTCCTTCTTTATTAAGGCTGAACAATATTCCATTGAATGTAAATACAACACTTTCTTTATCCATCATCCCTCGATGGACATTTAGGTTGCTTCTGTGTCTTGGCTATTTTGAATAATGCTGTAATAAAAATGACAATGCATACATTTCTTCAAGATCTTGATTTCAATTCCTTTGGTTATATGTCCAGAAGTGGGATTGCTGGATCATATGGTAATTTTATTTTTAATGTTTTGAGAAACCTCCATTCTGTTCTCCATGGTGGCTGCACCAGTGTATATTCCCACCAACAAGGGTTGCATCTATACTCCACAATTAAGTCTTTATCATCCTTTATTTAATCTACAAGCACTGTGGTACCCTGTATGCAGAGCATTCTATTAGGTATTTTGGAGAATCTTAAAATAGCTCTCAAGAGGTCCTCAATTTTGAGGATAATGCATTAAAAAGATAAATGACTGATATTCATAAGTGGTGGTTACCAGGGCCTGGGAAGAGGAGGAAACAAGATCTTGGTCAAAGGGTACAAAGTTTCAGTTACGTAAGATAGTAAGTCCTAGAGATCCACTGTACAGCATAGTGCCCATAGTTAACAATGCTATACTGGAAACTTAAACATTTGCTAAGACGGTAGATCTTAAGCGTTCTTATTATAAAAACTAAAAATAAAGAAGATGGGAGGGAACTTTTGGAGGTGATGGATATGTTTATGGCACTGATTATGGTGATGGTTTCACAGGTGGATGCTCATCTCCAAACTCATAAAGTTGTATATATTAAATATGTACAGCCCTTTTTGTATGGCAATCACACATCAATAAAGTGTTTGGTTGTAAAAAAGGTGACTAAACAAACACATGGCCATTGAAAATATATAATATATTCTCAGATGGAGAAATATGTAATTTCATATATGCTATTATATATCAGGTTTTTAAAATAAATGTATGCATATATGCAAGGATTGGGAGATAAAAAAATAAAAATTTTGTTAACTTAGTAAAAAAAGAAAAGGAAAAGCACAAGTTATAGATATAAAAAAATGAATGAAAGACAGAAAATCACTACAGGGCCTGCAGACATTAAAATGATATTAAATAGATAATAAGGAAATATTATAAATAATCTTATAATATGATAATTTAGATAAAATGGACAATTTCCTTGAAAGAAATGAGTTACTAAGACAGAAGTAAAAAGAAGTTGAAACTTTAGTCCT